TAAAGAAAAGCAATGAAGAATCATTTAAGATGACAAACAAAGAGCTTTTTATGAAACCAATTTATATAAATTCAGTTAGATAATACTCGTTATTAAAATGGATATGATCTGCTGTCATAAAAATATTTTTGGTTACAGCTTACCAAAATTTGCCAAATTATAGAGATTAATATAGATATCATTCGCTACCAAAATGGATATGCTCTGAGCTCATAAAAAATTTTTTGACTATAATCACCCGCATATCAGACGTTGAGGAATAAAATGTGAAAACTTTTCAGAAGAGAATGTGGAAAGAATTAGTCATAGATGGATAAAAATGGACGAAAATCGTAGAGGAAATTATAGAGAATGTTAAAATCGTAGAGAATGTTAAAATCTGTCAAGTTAAATTATGATTACTTATATTTACTTAATGTGTCACTATAAAATTATATGCATAAATCACACAACACTTACCAATCACTTCAGTCCACAGTTTCCCTTTGTGTATAATATTTCTAATTAATACTGTTTTTCCTTCTCAAATACAAGTAAAATTATTTTTCCAACGCTTTTGTATCAACTTTCAATCAAATATATCGCACTTCAGATACAAAAACCGACAACAAAGCAGGCACATACCAGGACAATAAACCACCGCTGTCTGTCTATCATTCACTCAAGTTCTGTTTGCTATTGTCATAAATGCAACATGTATTGTATATTTATTTGTTTTTGTTATATTTGCTTGTTATTTTTATAGAAGAAAAGTTGTTGATAAATACAATGCGTTTATTTGCATCAAACGATGACTTACATTTCATTTGTGTAATGATGTTTCCTACTAAAAATGTCTGATTCAAGTGTAACGCTACGAATGTTGTGAATAAATGTTTGAAGAGTAAACACTTCAAATTTAAATTTAACTGAAATTGGAATAGAATTCGAATGGAATAATATTTTATCTCTGAGTATTTAATATTTATCACGCCTGTTAAATATTAAACGGTTATTCATAAGAAGTGAAGTGGAGTGAATAATGTTCCTCTTGATACACCAAACTGGGTCAATTGCTTTGAATTGTAGCTTTGCAATTAATAACACTTAACTTGCTCGCCTAAATGTATGCAATGCTTTAAAGAACCATTTGCGGTTATATTGCGGCATAGCAAATGTGTTTAAATGCACATTTTCGCGCCAAATGTAAACACAATTTGCAATTGATTTTAGTGTATTTTCCAAAAATATTCTTATACACAAGTGAAGTGTATATTTACTTATATTTATGGTAAATAAAATTTTTTAAAAATACGCAACGTTTCAATGCGTTATTGCCACTTTTTTATTGCTTTCCAAGTTGCTTTCATGCAAGTTCACATGTGTTTTTCATGGCTAAACAATTTTATTGCTTCACTTTTTAAAATATAAAAATAAAAAATGAAAAAAACTTTTAAATAAAATTTAAAAATTCTTATAATGTGCCAACATGTTCATGTAAAATTTAAAATTGTTATGGTTTTATAATAACGTTTAAACGACGCATTTACGTTATATTCGTATACGCATTCAAATTTAATTTTCTTTTAAAAACTTGAGCTTCAAAAATTAACTTTTTGCCTCACACTTAACCTCATTTATCGTTCGCATTAAGCCATTTATCCGCCTTTTAATTTCCCTTTCTTTGCCTTTTAACTATTCAGTTATTCAGTTAGAATCCATGTTGCTCTTCGCAGACTATTGGCATAATTTTCCATGTCTCTCTTAGCTTTACTTTTTTTAGCTTTTAGCTTTTAGTTTGCTTTGCTGCTTGCATATAAATTTTATTAAGAAAAATGTCATTAACAATTGCCATTTTATGATTATTTCTCGTGTTAGTCGTGTTTTGTTGTAAAGATATTGCAACAGTTTTTCATTGCCTTGGCAACATATGTTGTCAACAGCATTCATAAAAGCACTGCCGGAACAGTATTAAGCCTTCTGTCATCCTCCTCCTCCTCCTCCTCGGCTCCGACTCCGGCTCTTGCATGCAACCACTTACAAACATATTTTGAATAGCTTTTAATGCTTACATTTATGGCATTCAAAAGTTATTCAATTTAATATTAAGAAAATTCTTAAAATACTCGGAAGGGCTCGAACACAGACAGATAAACGTATATTTCTCCTTCTCCTCCTTGGAGTAGGAATACTTTCAAAGGCAGTTACTGCTAATCCTGCAACGTGCAAGTACATGAAACAGCGTTTTAATGTGCCAACACAAATTTTAACATATTTAACCGAGTGTTTTTAATTTGCATTCTAAAGTCAAAGTTATTTTTTATTCTCACTTTATTTTTTATGTGTTTATAGTATGAGAAAATGGTATAAAATTAGGCCAATTGCTATTTTTAATTGGCAGTGAGATTTTTACCGCGCTATTTATGTCAATATTTATTAAATTTTTTCGCTATAAAGTAGAGAAAAATATTTTTTTTTAAATAAAGCTAAGTTATTTATTTAAATAAACAATTTTTTATGCGAAAAATTTTGGCAGTTAATGTATTTTGTCCTAATTAAAATAATTATTTTTTTTATTTCAAATATTTAATTTGCAATATATAAAAAATGAATTTTTTTATGTAGTAATTTTGATTTATTTTGGAATATACTTTGTCTTATATAAATTAAATAAATATAAAGTACTAATTAATAAATTTTGAAAAAATATATTACTAACACCAATTGTTTTTATTTATTCAAAATTTTAATATACTTATACATTATATCAGATGTGTTTAAAAAAATTTTTTTTTACAGTAATTTTTTCAAAGAGTATTAATGTATTTTATATACAGATTTTTTAATATATTAGCATATAAAAATTATTAATTAATTATTAGTCACAAAAAACTACACACAAAAAGTAGGTAGTCACAAATATGGTAGTTTTTGTAAACAATGCATAGTGCCGGAATTAAGAAAAACTACCATTTGCTATGATTATGTTAATTTATATAGCTGTGGTTTATGTATTAGTTCTAATTAATAAGACAGCAAGTGCAATAGTTGTTTATGAGTAAACAACAAAAATTGATACAATTCAAAATTTGTATAATGCAAATTAAATGGAAGTAGGCTTAGTAAATTAACACGCGAGTCTATCGTTCAGCTGGTTTAGTACATTTCTCTTCAATATTAGTCCTTATCCATGTTATGCACTTAAACCACTATAGTTCTAGGGTTCGAGAATAACTGTGGGAATGATTTATATATCTTATATAATATATGAGATATATATTGTCAAATACTTTTTAAGTATTTTTGTGTTTTGGAATAACAATCATATCTAAAGAATAGGGTATTTGAGGTATTAAATTGAAATCCTAGACAAACAGTTAAGAAAGAAACAATTTTTTTTAACTTTTTAATTATAAATAGAAGTACTAAGATACCCACACACAGATATCGTATTATCTATAATAATGTCTCGTTTTCTCTAAAGGTGTTTGTTCCATGCATAAGCACAGAGTGGTCGAATAGTCACTGTTGTCAAAGACTTTTTTAAGCATTTTGAACGTATCGTTCTAATTAATTCCAATTTTAATATAAAATCCAAACCCAACACAAACACATATCATTTGCATACACTCAGCAAAAGAAACCTACTTATTACTGCTGCTGGTAAGGCCGGTGTTACTGGCAAAAATTGATCGTTATGACCTTTTTATGCACACAGTCATATGACTAATACTCACAGCAGTTTTACACTCTTTTTGGTCATGACCAAAATGCATGTTATGTGGAGAGTCATGGGCACGTCAAAATTTAATTTTTTTGGTCATAACTAAAATGCGTGTTGTGTAGAAACTAATATCAGTACTATTAACTTCGTATTTTTACTAATACTATTGTACTTTTTGGTTGCGCCTAAATTTAAGAGGAAATGCAGAAATGGTCATTTACAATTTGCACCCAGAAATAAGTAGCAGCATAATACTTACAAAATAAATCGCTTTTCCTTAAAATGGAATTTAAAATGGATTTATAAAATTGAAATTTTATAATTGAAAATTAATAATTAGCCCCTTAAAGGCGTAAATTCTGATGTTATAACTGAAAGTCACTATTTTGACAAATGCCCTGAAGCACACAAGGTCTCGTCACCACGACCAAATTTAAACCGATATTTGTTTTTTCTTTTTTTCTTTTTTTTCTCGCTCTCAATTTTTTAATTTGCATTGAAAACAACAACAATTCAATTTTGTCATACCGTAGACTTTATGCATAACATGGCACTAAGAGGGCACCCACCCTGCACACTACAATTCATAGCCCAAAATTTCGATCACTGCATCTTTTATAAATCAGAGATTTTTATAATTGTTGTCAACTGATCGACGTTTCTTCAAAACAACGAAAAAAATAATAGAATAATGTCTAAGTTTTAGTTTCGCATTGACATATATATGGCACCTCGCGAAGTTATTGACCAAGTTACTATAGTACATATGTATATCTGATATTATTGTATAAGATATTTTAAAACGATATAACGTATATAAATTAATATTAATATATAAATTAATATAAAACTGATTGTTTTATATAGATCAAAAATAAAACATAAATAAAAATAATTATTTTTAAGAAAATTTTTTGTCCAAAAAAGTTTATATCTAGCAAATCATATTAACTTAAGTTAAACTGCTAAATATTTTTAGAAAAATTTTTTTAACTTTTTTTGAGCTAAAATATACTTAAAGTAATTTACTGTTTTTACAGTAAATGAAATGGAAGTTTTTGTGTTTTGAAAATCAATAATATTAATATTTACAGATTTTTTTTTTGCTTATAATATTGACAACATTTTATTCTATTTATTTTCTTCTATTCTCAGCTTAACGATATTTCGCAACTGCTTTTAATAACAATATTCTGAACAATAGATTAAATATACACAAAACAAAAAAATGATGGAAAACATTGTTGGCTTAAAAATATAAAAATTGAATATTTTATAAAACCACCACGCAACAGTTTGAAATAAAACTTAGAACAAAAATAAAAAAAAATCAATCAACAAAAATTCAGAAAATACTTTTGCCGCCATCCATCGCATACCATCGCATGCCACAACACCACATTGAAGCGTATTTAAAACTGCGGCCTTTAATTCCTACTAATCTCCTAGACAACAGAGTGTAACACAAAAATTCCAAACCAAAATTAAAATCTTCCTTGCGTTAGAGTTGGAATTACGCCAAGTCGCAACGAAAACTATACCACAACTCATCATTTAAAACGTACACATCCTTGACATTCCTTTTGAGGACGAACGTTGGCATTAAGTTTTCATCATTGCGTTTTTATACTTTTCTTCGTCGTGCCACGAGCACACTTTTAAGCCAAGAGCTCCAGTAGTCCAAGGGACAGCAAGAGGACAGCGGCATATTGCCGCTTTCAAGAAAACCGTGGCATCATATTATCCTGCTAAATCAGCAGGATTTAAAATTGCTGCTGCTATAGCTGCTGTTACTGCAACCAACGCTGTGACTCCTGCTACAGCCACAGGCACAGCCGACAACATGAAGCTGTCAAAGTTATCTAACCAAACCAACTCACAGGATCCGCAGGCTGTAAATTCACGTGTTTTCGTTGGAAATTTGAATACATTTCAGTGTTCGAAAACGGATGTAGAACGCATGTTCCAAATTTATGGTCGACTTGCAGGTTAGTGCTGCCATTATAATTGGTGATTCTTTTTCATGTAATTCTTAAAGAGTACTTTCTCTATTTTAGTTTTCAATTATTAAAATGCATTTTACATTTTATTTATATTTTTGTATATATATTAATATATAATAGATATATTTATATAATTAGATGCATTTGTTTATTTATTGGTCATTCATAATATTATTAGTGTTAATTTTTGTTTCCGTATTTACCGGAAATGGATCTAAATTTATATCTTACGTTTCTAAAAAGTTGTAGCTATAGATGTATTTTTTTCCCGGTCCCTAACCATTTTTTTCCCTTTATGCACACCACTTGGAAGCATAAAGTCTCAATCCAATTACCATATTTTATTTTATTTAGACATAATATTTTTAATTACGATCAGTTCAGTCCTATAGACTCAAACTCAGTTAACATCGATTTTCTCCATGTGTTACATAGTCTAACAGGTTTTCCTTTACTCGCTGGGTTCCATTTTAATGCGGCGCTTAATATATCAATGGGGTTTTTACGGAGTGTGTGCCCAATCCATCCCCAGCGTTTTTCATGGAGACAAAAATATCTCCTAAACACTGCAACGCAAAAGCTTCTGCATTCTGCATGAGACTAACGGGAACAAGATGAAGATTCTGATTCTGAACTTTGAGTTCATGTCACTGATCAGGGCCGTGGTTGTGATAAGTGTTTAGAAGGTCCAGAGGCCTTCTTCTTGATAATATTAAGTGTAATATAAACTTCTTACTGGTACCAGTTTGAAAATAATGCTACTGTTGTTTGAAGTTGATTGCAGCTTAATTGGACACTTTAACTCCTTATAAGAAACTATTTCTTGTAGATACTTGTTCTTTCAAAGTGGTTCAATGTTTATCTACTGATTTTATTAGCTATTCAGGTTTACGTATAAATTGTACTACTTAACAGTTATTTTTTCTTTCTTTTCTTTTCAATTTTTTTTATTAAACTATTTGGTTTATTAATTATATTTTAATAAAATTACAGGTATATCAATGCATAAAGGATACGCTTTTGTACAGTTCACTAATCCTTTTGACGCACGCAATGCTTGTCATGGCGAAGATGGACGAACAGTGCTTAGTCAAACCTTGGGTAAGTACAATTTTAATTTTAATAATAATTTTTATAAAATAATATTAAAAGTACAATTAATTTCATATAATTAATAAATAATACAATTCAAAATTAGCACTTCAATTAGTAAAAACTTATAAAAAAAGTTAAATGAAAATTAAATTAAAATATTGTGAACATTTATGCATTTTTAAGTAAAAGATTTATATGATGATATGACATATATGATATGGTCCGATCGAAAAATATATAAAGAATAGAGCCCTGAAATTTTTTGCGAAAACTGACAGAGTTATCAATACCGCGTTTTCAAATCTCAGAATGGTTACAGTCTCCTCGGGGAGGTATGCAGATCTGAGGTCAATTATTGCTTAGTCTGTTGAAGTGATAAACAATAATCCAGTCAAGACGTAAAGAGAGGTTTTGAAGATACCTCAAGTTAAAGAGTAAAAGTCCTCAAATGCACTGGTTGAGATAGCTTCAACATAATAATGATATATAACCTTAAAAATTAACTTGTGATAAATTTCAATGTCGGAAGTTTTATCGTTGAATTTTTACGCATCTAGTAAACAAGACTAATTGATTCTTTCATATATAGATTGAAAAATATTTTATTCAATTACTCTTTTACTCTTTTACTTTAGAAGGTATAAATTATTTTATTAAAATATCTTTCAAAAATAATATATATACATTTCCATGATCAATAATTTAATATGACAGAAACATCTTTTTTTGTACCGTTACAGTAAGCACTAATACTATATATTATTTTTTTACCTTAATAGATTATTAGGTGGTAAAAAAACAAGCCTATAAAAAAACAAGCCTATAGGCTCGACTGAGGTGAACTCCCCCGTTAGTCGCGTTTAAAGCAGCAATAATTTTTTGCATCATTTCCGGGGTATTGGCCGTGAACCGGAAGTATAAAAATTTTAAGCTAGCGAAGTATTTTCTTCGGCGTTTAGTAGTATACGAAAAAAAACCCAGACGAGTGGCAACTATTTCAGAAGTTTAAATAAATCCTTTGTTATATATAACAAAGTATTTAACTGAATAATTTCTCACATATCTACTCACTCCTTTTCTCTATGCATTTTGTACATTTGGTCTGGTTTATTTCAGCGCCTCATACCAATGCACTCAAACGGAAATGAATGCCCTAAAATAGTTCAAAGCTCAAATGGAAGTTTAAAAATAACACTTCGAATTTTTTATTTAAAAACGCAATTAATAGTATTTTTTAAACTGTTGCACTTCAATTGGAGGTTATAATTACAGATTATTAGACTCTCCTATAGTTTTAGAATATGTACTATGGTAATTGGGACTGAGTATTCTAAGACCATCTAAAGCAAATACGTTAAAAAAGTAATTTTACTAATTAAAGGTACAATTTGTTCCAAAAAGGCGCAGGTTTTGATAAACATTAGTGAACAATATGGTTTTGACTGATGTGACGAAGTATAGAAGCTCTCGACGTAAGCATAGTGCAATTATTTTTCCTTATTGGACTTGTATTAAATTTTTGATAAACATTTAAAACAACAATACTTTGATATGCAATGTAAAAATCACTGCGTGAATGATATGTTCTCATAACAGCTTCCTGGGTTTTAGAGAAACAGCAAACCATTTTTAACGCTTACTCTGCAGTCATAGGAGTAAGGAAAGATAGTCGATAATCGGTTTTTCCATTGTGACAATAGTACCGATATGTCAGCTTCAAATGATGATGATGATGATTCTTCTTCTTCTTGAGTTAGTGCTATTACGCACTTTTACTCTGAATTGACAGATCAAAATAGACAGCTAATTGTGTTCAGATGAAAGATGAGAATGACATATAAATTTAGATACATATACTAGTTTTTCAAAACTAACTTGTATATAGTATATATAGAACTTTATTTTCAAATTCCTCTTTCATTTTTTCGACTTCTTTTTATCTCTTATATTTCTTTTCTTTTGACACATTTTTTTTGTTATTTTTATTAATGTTCAATAAATTGTTATTACGACCAATATTCAATTAGTTTTTATATTTGTTACTGGGCTTAGGTCGTTTATTCATAACATCAATTTATAAATATATAAATATAATTATAATTATAATATATATATATAATAATAATTATAAAATATATATATAATAATAATAATAAATGTAATTTAAAAATTTATAAATTACACTTCTTAAACTATGTTAAATATTAGGTGTATTTTAATTTTTATACAAAATTATTTATATTACAAATATTTCGGTGTACTTCGTAGACCATCTTCAGTGTATAATAATAACAAACCTTCATTAATGTTCTCTATTATACCACAATTTTAGTGTATATTTTTATGTATACAATAGAGTATGTATCTGTAATAAAATAATTAATAAAATCTTTAAATTTCTACATTCATATTTTTCACATAATTGGCATTTCAATTTTCATTGGCTTTATGTGTCGTACCAAATTATTGCATATATTAAAAATCAAAAATATTTATTGAAATCCCACTTATTTTGATATTTGTATAAATCGTTATATATAAATTTCATATTGACTTTAACTTCAATGCAAAAACAGAAATTGTATTTTTTAATTTTAGTCTTATTATTTTCCATATCCACTTTTTCCATATGCCATTTGCAATATTTTTACTAATTCGAATATTTTATTCATATTGCATGACTTATGCAGGCTTCGAGCTGCAACGCAAACTCTCAACAGCAAAACACAACGGCGCTGGATGAAATATGAATATTCATTTGATTTTTAAATATTGAAATCTGATGACACATCGACTGAATAAACTGCATCAATAATGAAATTTCGATGTGTTTCACTGTAACGATGACGTTGACAATTTTGACATGTCATTGCAATGATATGTGTCGATTTCATTAACGTGAGCGCGTAATGAAATTCCACACCTTGACTACATGGCGTATACGTAACTTTTCCAAGCGAGTCTGCCAAATGTTTATGTTCTTATGTTTACGTTATAGGACTGCAGAACTGCAGGAAGGACTTGTACGCATAAAAGCTTTAGTTTATTTTTTATTCATTTTTAGTGCATTTATTAAGTGAGAAGGAAGTAGAGTTTATACCGCTTCTCGCATGTTCATAATTTTGTTTGTCTGTCTGTCTGTCTGTTGTTGGAGGTATGAGCACAAATAATTTTTTTTTGTTTCTGAAAATATGCAAAAAGGATGCAATTTTATAGAGAACATCTTAATGCACTTAGCGTATTGCTGTCGGGAATAGTCAGACTCACCTTCGCACTTGTACTCGAACTCTTACGCATGTATGTGAACTCATGAATGTTGAAACTGTTTTTATGTAAAATTCTTAATTGAAATATTAGCAGTTATGGCAGTTCTCTGCAAGTATTTATTTAACTGCTTTAAATAAAATTTTATTTCAAAGCTAAACTCTATTAAATTTGGAAATAAAATTAAATTTGTGATACACTGATCTGAAAATTATATGAATAATTTTAATTTTATTTATTTATTTAATTAATTACAAAGAATTGTGGCGATTTGAGATTTCCGCGCGGGTACTCCAAATTAATTCTCATATAATATAATAAATGTTAATAGTAACACAATGTATATATATCTTTGTTCTCTAAGATAGCAAAATAATAATGGGATCTCACGAAAAATAACTTACTCTATTGATGAAAAAATTATCATCCATCAGTCTAAAGTAAAAGTCATGATAATTTATTGACTTAAAAAAACTGCGATTCCTTTAATTATTTAGCCATTCTTTTATTAAACTGAAGCACTTATTTCAAAATAAAATAAAATTTGAATTGCAATATTGAAATCTGCTACAACAAAATTCATAAAAATATGAAAAGCCTAAATTTATACTAAATCAATACTAATACTAAATCAAACTAATCATACTAATTCTATAAAGCTTCGATTAGTAAATTAATTGATAGTCCCAAAATTAGCCATAGCTCTGCAGATAAAAAGTAGAATTTCTAAAGAGTATACAAACAGAAGATCGAAGCATTTGTATTGTGGATATATTGAAGAGTGTTAAGAACCACGGACTAGTCCAAGAACCAACGTAGCTTAAATATACCTAAGAAACTAAATGCAGAATCAAGTTTTAAGTGTTAAGCATTCTACGGATTACTCAAAGGACTAACATCTCTGTTTTTGAGAAACTAAATATAGAAATGAGAGTTTAGTGTTAAGAGTTAGTCCATAGACTAAATAAAAAAATTAACATCTATGTACTTGAGAAACTAAATGTAAAAATGAAAATTAAGTGCTAAGAGTTCATGGACTATTTAAAGACCCAACATCTCTGTGCTTGTGGATTTAAATTAAGAAATGAAACTTTACTGTCTAGAGTTTTATGTAATACTCAAAGAATCACCTTCTTTGAGTTTTGGAAACTAAATGCAGAAATGTAACTTTAGTTGTTAAGAGTCCATGTACTATAAAGACTATAAAAAGAACCACCATGTTTGTGCTTAAGAAACTTAATGTAGACATAATACTTTTGTGTTAAAAGCCCATGGATTTCTCAAAAAACCAACATCTCTGTGTTTGAAAAACTAAATTGAGAAATGAAACTTAAGTAGTAAATATTCTATAAGCTACACAAAGAAATAACATGTCTGTTTTTAAGGAATTAAGAATAGAAACAAGACTTGTAAAAGTTAACTGAAATGCGTGCATGACTTAGTTCATTCATTTAGCTTATTAATCTGATCAAAAACAACCGCTTGTGAGAATACGATGAGAATACTCGTTGAATATAGATATAGAGAAATAAGAAATTCATCTATTTAATTGATTAATCAATTGCAATTTCTGGTAAGAAAACTTATGATAGAAGCGATATAAATAACGCATAATTGAACAGAATTGCATATCCCAAGGAATATTGTTCATTCATGATATGCCACTACACTCTATCACGAGCAAAGGATCAGAGGAAGAAGATTTATATATAAAAATCACTTTGTACAATTTATTGAACTAATTAATAAAATATTTGAAAATAAAACATCGAGAATACTTTTTAAAAAAATTATAATAAATAAGTGTATTTATCTGCTCTTAGTACATAGTTTGATGACTACCATTCATAAGGTACTCGTAAAAAATATTGTGTTTTCTATTTATATATAATTTTAACTCTTGATGCGCACACGACTAGTGAACATTGATTTCAACTGTGTACTGTGATTTTACGAACTTATGCCAATGCAAAGGCGAAGTACGTTGCAAATTCTGAATCTTTCTATTATTAAGTCTATTAATAGATTTTAAAATATCATTTTTGTTTAAAGAGAAGATTTTAGACCAATTATTGATGTAAGCAACTTATCAACTGCACTAGTTGATCTACGTTGAGTCTGGTATGTCCACTTATTTTTTAAGTCTTTTATCTTATAAATTCTGAGATATTTCCTTCTATTTACATTTTATGTAATCAATTACAAATTTATTTAATATATCTTTAGAAGTATAAATAGAGCACCATCCTTAACAGCAGTAAGGATGGTGTTATATTATCTTATCGCAAGTGTGACATGATTTCTAGTTTTGGCACCATTAAAGGAAAGAAAAGTATATATTTACTTTTAATATTTTCATTTAATTAATTATTTTTTAAATTTTTATATATTTTTTTTTTTTTAAATTGTTTTATATATCACAAAGTTAAGAATAAATAAATTATTTTTAATCTAATTAGAGCCAATTTCCTTGTACATTAATGATTAATAAACTCTAAATCACACATAAAAAACTTTCTATAATATCAATAGTTTCATTATTATCAACAGTTAATATGAATAGTAAACTTTTTTATATTCAACTTTTTTTTAAAACTTTACGTAATATTATTTATTGTTGATTGAGATAGTATGTAATAAATGCTAGTTGCTTAAGTGTTCTTTAAGTGTCTTTTACTTCTGAAACCAGAAATATGTAAGAACCTAATAAAAATTGGTGCTGAAATTCTGTTCCATTTTCATTGCATTTGTCTTATGATAAATTAAAATTTGAGTGTTTATACTTGCATATTTAATTCATAAATAATACAAAAAAAAAAAAAACAATAAAGCATATTTAAAGCCAACACAATACTTCATTTTTTTATGAAATTGTCAGCAAGAAAAAGAAATAAAAAATATATAAAGAATTATTCGCGATGAGAATTCTTTATTTTTTAATTCCACCACATTTAAACCGATTTTATGCTGATTCCTTTAAGTTCGGAAATCCTTCTTATTTCTTATCCTTAATCTTAATTATAGCAAGCAGACATTTGCCGCACGATTCGCAGGACGAAAAAGCCCAGACCACCGCTGCTTGACAGCCACACTGGCAATTTGTAGTACTTTAAGGGATTCATTGCCTTTTTCAGAAGCTGCGGATAGGAAGCAACGAACATAAAAAATTGTAAGAAAAATAAAAAATGGAGTGAAAAATGAAAATGGAATAGCTGAGATCTGACTTATTTGCTTCTCAAGTGGTAGCCTTAAATTGGGCGGCACATACACCAACGAACTTGCGTGTGCGGAATGAACTTCATGAATTATGATGAGTGGCGCGCGTTTAAATGCTGCTGTCGCATCCTTTTCACTGTGCGATGTGCAAATAAATGAATGCGAGAATGTTTTAAATATTTTTGACATAATTTTTTATTGTTGTTGTTGTTCGTTTTGTTTTTCCTTTCATATTCAAAATTGAGTAAAAATTTTAATGACTTTTATTAAGACAAATGACTGTGTAAATTATTCCTTGGTTAAACGAAGTCGCTGAAGTGTGTGGAGATTTATTAAAAAATTAATATTAATTTTAATTAAATGAAGAATTTCGATTTATTAAAAAACTTTTCAATTATTTTCTAATAAAACTTCAGAATTCAATTTTTTTGTGCTTTTAAAGTAAATAAAATCAATTTAATATTCATTTAATACCAAAATTCCATGAAAAGGGCATATTTATAAAAATAAATAAATCAAATATCTATTTCATTGTTTTCAAAACATGAATAAAAATATGGTATGAACTAATAACTTCAGTCTCCAACAGCTATCACATATTTAATGTTAAGCTCCTTTGTTTGATCAAGTTTTTCGTAAAAACTATTTGTATAAAGAATTTTTTAGATAACATTCCAACACAATATTTCCTAAATTTTACATCAAATTAAAATTAAAAATATTTTTTATTATTATTTATTTGATGTAATTCATACAATACTAACAAAAAATTTTAAATTTAACTTAAAATTTAAAATGACAATAATATATTTGTTGTGCCAGATTGGCATACAAAAAAATGGTGTATATTATTAATATGATTATTTATATAAATTCATCAATAATTAATATCTGTCACATATAAAACTTTCCATAAATTTAGACAAGTTATAAGTATTACTACTATTAAACAAGACTTTAACTTCTACTTTGGACAGAAGTGTTTTAATAAAAAAAATAAATACTATGTTCTATGTTCTCTAAAAATCGGATATACACTAATATTATTTCCATTTAATATAAACTGAATTTTTTTATAAGCTTTATTATAGATGAGTGTTGGGCTATTAGTCAGATATTTAATATTATTGCATATATTTTCTATTTCATGACGATTACACAAAGAAAAATTGAATTCAGATATATTAATTTCTCTACCAAGCAGTTTCAAAAGAGATATGTGCTGAGTGTTTTTGTAATAAAAACTATACATAATGTCATATTTCAGTTGTGGGTACATGTCATGAGATCCCGATCTAACATTAGCGACAAAAGATTCGTGTTCACTCCGTTTGTATGAAGTTATAATATTATTTTGTAATAATTTAAGATTCACATTTCGAAAAATGGTTATTGACAGACCCAATTTTAAACACATTTTTTTCCAATTTATGTCCCCATATATACCCTTTCTTCGTGAATTATAAGTTTAGCTAGTATTCGAGGAAGCCTTGTGAAAGAAAGATTAAAAATTTACCAATTTAAATTTGTAAAACCGTTTCCAAGTGGATCATATAGTAAGAGGTGTTTAAATGTAGAAATAAAATCTTTTTAATAAAAAATTTAAGGAGTTTTTCCACTTGTTCATAATGTTTGTAAACCCAAACTTGGGCACGGTAGAGTACGCTTGAACGTGCTGTTGTGCAGAAAATTTTTAGTTCATTTGGGAAAGTTGTTTTCGGATTAGACGAGTACTTTACCTAGATGGAAAATGAGAGTTTAGAGGTCAAATATTTATTGTAGGAGAGGTTACACGTAATTAATATTCTAAGTTATTTACATTCATTGACAATTTCTACCTGTCTTGCCTTGCATTTCATCGAACAACATACTGCTTAATCTAGGACCTTTTCTAAAAATCATACTCTTAGATTTATCTAGATTCGAAAAAGACCCAATTGTAAACAATAACTAAACAGACCGTCTATCATATTTTATCCATCATTACTTCAGGTGAGTATTGAGACTCACCTCGCATATAGATGCGATGAGTTGAGTTGATACTCCACCCTTTAAAATTTAAACTATAACTTCTCAAAGTTTAGGAATCTAATTTTTCAGATATTTATTTTTTCATATTGTTTTACCTATAATTAATTTTTAAATTATTTTAAACAATGACATTAAAAGAGAGTTTTTCTTTTTTTTTATAGATGTTAATATGGTCGCTGAACCTAAAGCACATCAAATTGGTCGCAAGCGTCAAAATGTAACAAAAACTGGCAATGATTGGTAAGTAATATTAATTATAAAAAAAATTCTTACAATTTTTTTCTATTTTATTGTATAATAATAGCACTATTTTTTGTGTATATCATATACCATAATAAAACTTCAATAAATATTGATAAATATAAAAGTAAATATTTATCATATATCAAATTTTTTTATGGACTCTTTCTTAAGAACCGTATTCGACGTTACTAGAGTTCAGAAATAAATCAATCATTTTTTCATTTTACATTAAATTATTTAATTATAATTTAAATAAAATAGTGTATGTAGAATATTATGCAATATTATACAGAAGAAAAAAAATTGGATTAATAAAATTTAGAAAAAATAGGCACTTCAAATATTAGAATCTATTAGAGCTCATCTTCAAAGTTCTAGAAAAATAAAAATTTTTTTTTTTTAATTCTTTAATATTAATTTATTCTTCTTTTTATTAATTTGATTTTTATTAAGAATTATTTAAAAAAAAATTATTATTATAACTTTTAACAAAGAAGCATATATGAATTTTAATTCCAGTAAGAATGCCTAGACTATATTAGACATTTGTCCAATATTGGACCAATATGTGATTTAAAACAATGAGGTAGATTAAGTTTTAATATATATCTGTAAATGAAAATTACTTAAATCACGGGTCAATACTAGATACCTAGATCCCTGAATTCTATTTTTTTTTTAGCAAAAACATTTTTTTTTTTGTCGTACGCTTTGTTGTGATATTCACATATCAATAACAACCAATAAATCTATAAATAACAGTTGTTTCCTCAATAGCGCTATTTACGTGGCAAACCGGGACCACTTACACTCGGACTAAATAAATTCGACCATCTGTAAACGCAGCTAGAACTAAAAATTGAACTGATAATAGCAGTAGTAGGACCGTCACTGTTAATGATATCTTCTTTGTAATGGGTCATTATTCATTATCTTGTAGGTAAACATGTAAAGCGACTTGGATTTATAATTGACTCTGTTTGCTGATTTACCAAGAGAAAAAATTGTTGTGTTCTTATCTATTGTATATAGATACAGGAAGATTATAGGAAACAAGACTACAATTTTTGGAAAACAATTTTTCAAAAACTTGAAAGTACTAAAAACTTAAAAGTACTAAATACTAGAAACTGATATTAGAAGCTTCACTAAATCTAGTATTTAACCATATATATATGTATACCATATATATCTAAGAACAGTAAATATTAGTCTATATTCAATAAATACATTAAAAATTTATTTATTTAAACTGTTAGTGATATATAAGAAATCAGATACTAAGCTTCGTTTGTTACATTCCTTGGTCACTGGACTTAAGCCAGAAATCTTTTTCAGTCTGATGGCTGAGATCTTCGCGCCTCGTTCCAAAGAAGTTGAAAAAGTAAAACTAGTTATTTTACTTCTTTATTGCTCATAATTGAAATTTTTATCCTTCACATATCAATTCTAAGGAGGAGTTATAAGGAGTCTCATATGTTCAATGCTCACATAATCGCACCTTTTTTTGTAAATGATTGATTGCTACGAAAACCCAAATACTGCCAACGAAATGTATTAATGGACTTGGAAACAACATCAGACATGGCGCATTTCCGTTTCAAGTATTTTTGATTAAAAATGAAGCAACTAATAGAATTTGTGATATTACTTCCTTGACGGAATCAATTTGTAATTTTATGCGTCATCTAAGCAACATTTCATATAATTAAATTTACACACTCCTCTCACTTCTCAGTAGACCAGTAGAAATTTTTGATAAATTGATAGTATTTGCGTAATTTAGCAATTTTCCTAGCACATTCAAATTTAACTTCAAACATTTCTGTTAACTAACTATGTTTGAATAGGAAAAATATTCACCATTTTAAATTATTTACATATCATTAAATTCCGTATGTAGGAGTAATATTATATTTGCCTTTCAAATGAAATATGCTAACATTTCGTAGTAAACTTTCATAAACTCAAAAGTATTTTTGGGTTTGCGCTACTGTTGAAGTCAAACAAACAATTCATCACTTGAATGTCCTTTTTGGCCTTTGTTTCAGTCCTACCCGCGGTTCCACAAAGAGTACTACAAGGTTCTTTTTTTTCTGTTCTGAAATTTTTTCGTCTGGTTTGATTGAATTCTGTTGGGTTTGGTTCTGTATTCCTACGTTTTTTCTGTACAATTTGGTGGAGTGTAGTGTCAACACTCAAGTTCAGAATGTTGGCGGCAGTACCATACAAGTACAAAAACATTGACCACAAGAGTAACAACAACAACAACAACAATAGCAACAATAATAGTCCGTATGACGTTGACATTTTGTAGTTGATGGTCAGTATAATGATGACAAGCGGCAACAATGACGGACGACTAGTACATCCGTGTATATAACAGAAATTCCAAAATTTTGTACTCTGTCCTTTCAACACCATTTCACAATAAATATCCGCCAGGTTATGTTCGCCCTTGTCCGGTATTCCATGTTATTTTCAGAAGTTCACAATGGTAAAGTTCGAGTTCAGAAAACAAAAAAGTGAACAATCAAAAATTTCAAAGTTTGTTAAAAACAACATTCCATCCTCGTTTAAATTCGCTTTATGTATGAAAAAGTTTGTTTTGTTATCCTTTTGGTCATCTAAAAAGATTTTTAAGAAACCTTAAACAATGGACATTTGATTTGTTATTCAAAAACTATTATTTGGTGATATGACATCAGAAGGAATTGAATTTTTCAATTTATGCTTATATTGAATTATTTTATTAAAACTAGATTGTACCGATGACGACAATTTATCTTGTTACGATTGGCCATTAACAAACTAATAATCCAGAAAAAAGAATATAAATAATTCTTCATTATTATGTGGATAAAAAAGAGATCAGAATCAGCATCATATATAGTAGTGTTTTCACTATATCTAAAGTTGTATCAAACATTCATTCGTACTTAGTTACTCTGAAATAGGTACCGGGTCTAAATGACTGTTTCTAGAAATGGTAAAGCCAACAAATTGGTCAGAATTAATACACTACGTCCTTAAAAATCATTATAAAGGCAGCCATTTCAATGCTTCTAAGTAAGCATTCTGCTAGTCAAACTTGATCTGTCTACAAGCATAGAATATTGAAATAGCTGCCTTATGAATGGAACACTAATGACAAACTACTCATATCATATGCCTCGTCTGCACTCAGAGCAACTATGAGGTCTTACTCGCATCTCATTTTAAAATGCATTTACGATAAAGATCGTAAATGTGACTCAGAGAAGAATGAGAAAAATGTCGTTCGTTTGTTGCGTTGTTCTCAGCATTTGCCAAAAGGACTTGATCGAACTTAAGGTTTCTATATGAAGACATTTTCCCCTTCATTCAATTACTTAGTCGTTTCTCAGTCCAAATAGATGTGTTAAAATAGTTAGGGTTCCCATAAATTAGGGGATATTACAAGGAGCTCTCTTAAGAACCTAAGTGAGGTTCATATCCTTAAAAGTTGAACACGTTGCTATCGAGATTTACTATCTATGCGATCAGAATTTTAAGATTCTCATCGCATCTTTTTCAAATCATAGTAAAACGGAAAGAAAATTCTCAAAAGATTGCCGAAAGTATTTTTTAATCAATCAATTAAAAATCAAAAAGAAGATATACTTCTGAATACAATAATCTAGCAGTTAAATGTTATTTTCTCTTTTTCAGTATTCGAATGAGTTTTAATATATATATAGAACTACATTTTTTAAGGGACCTTAAGGCTATTTTACATCATATGTTTTTTTTTAAACTCTATGATCTAAGCAAAGTTTTTGAACATCCAATACGTAATTAATCACCCAAAAATATGTTACTTAGATGTTTAATTATATTAACATCATAATAGTATCATTGCCAAAATTCTACTTTATTTGGATTATATAAATTCTAACGAAAATCCGTCTTATAATTTAACCGTTTTTATATTTATTATCTATAAGACTTATATTCTATCTTCTGCTCTAAAAATCGCGTACAACAAGAATTTTCCATAGTAAAAATCGCTAAATGCACTTGAGGTAGTTTCACATTAACAAAATTAGCTGTAAACAAACTAATTGACAGATGACGCTCAAACTTGTACCATATGTCAAGAAAGGGGGCACCAACATAACAAAAAAAAAGGTCTATTATTGAAAAAGGTCTATTACTTAATGAGTAGTTAACAAATACCAAAATCCGGATACTTTTTGAGCAGAAGGTATACGAATAATTTACTATAAACTTTGTTAAACAATAAATCCAAACATTTAGTTTCAATCAAACAAATTTTTGATTACTTCATATGCCTTCTATTATACACTATAAATATTTGACAAAATATAAACATTTATAAAGCCGCAAATTGACCAAAAATCCCATAACTAACAATTGCAGTCGGTAATAAAAATTCTGTAGAAACAACATACAAAAACAAACAGAAAACAGCCTCATTTCCAAACTTTCCCTACAATTTTGAAGCTAACGCCTACTGAAATCCCAAACATGTCCAACAATTTTGACCACTAATGTGGCAACCCTTTCGTCCGCAAACAAACCAACTGTCGCAGTAGTTATGTGTAGTGCAAGGGGAGGCTTAAATAATGAAATTTATCAATCAATGTTGGTTTAAAGGTATAAAAGTGTTGTTAAGTGGCAGAAAACGGCTGCTGACACACATCACAAATAGTAAATGACCATTTCAGCAGTTCACCAATTTCATGTGGACTGCTCCGTTGCTCATGAAATGCCCAACTTGCGCCGTTCGTAAAGTGGAAATCAAATATTGACGTTTTGTCGAGCGATTTTCAGTACATATCGATACTTGTCTGTATGTTTTTCCTCGTCATTTGTACGTAAAGTTTTTAATAGTATTTTATTGTTTGGTAATTTTATTCCTTCCTCCTGTATACAAACAATGTTTGGAGCGACCTCTTGGGTCATTGGAAAGGCTCAGAACGGCCCATTGATTGCTTTAGTGCTATTATTTTATTTAACTAAGGCTAGTGAAGAGTAGCAACAGCTGTTGACTTTGAATTTTTGGTTTGAGTTAATTTGTAAACAATGTTCGTTTAAATGCAGTAACAAAGTATTTTTATTTACTCAAGTTCCCACTTCAAATTCGGCAGTTAAAAGATTTTCGATGATTTAGATTAATAAAACTAAATATGTTTTAACTAGAAACGATAGTGATTATATGTAATTTATTAATGAATTATTTTGTTTATTTTTTTTTAGTATTCAATTTAAAAAACTGGGCAGGTATAAGCGTAAACACCCTGTAAAATACGAAAAATATTCTCTGCTATAAAAGTGAACTTTTTTACATTTATTTGAAAAAAAAAATTTGTCTTACAATTTCATACAAAATTATTTGCATATTTTTAGGCTAAAAATTAATTTGCTTTTGCCTTTAAGTTTATATAATATAATACTACATAAGTATTCTTCTTAAGAAAAACATTTTTAATATAATACAGATGTCGGCTTCATAAAGAGAATGGGTTGGGGCAAAGCCTTTATTCTTTAAAAAAACAATTATTTTTTCTTTGTATATATAATTTAGTTCATCTACTGTAAACATTTATTTTATTTTGCAGGGATTACTTCTATGATAGTTATTGTTCATCTTCATTATTCCGTACATCTCGTCCAAAGAAACGGAAACGTCTAATGACGCCAACATCACGTATGCTGAATGAGGCTGTTAGTAGCAACAATATAAATGCTGCTGTCGCTGCTGCTGCCGCAGTACAACAGCAGCAAAAACATTTGCAACAACAGCACCAACAGCATCAACAGCAACATCATATGCATCATCATTCGGTGCCCCAGCATCAACAACAACAGCAACATCAACATCAACAACAAGCTGCTGCTGCTGCAATGGCTGCTATGGCTAATTTATTACCGCAACAACAAATATTGATGCATCAGCAAAACTTACTTACAAACACAAATGGCAATGGTGTTCAATGCAATGGTGCCACTACTACTACATCTCATCATGGTCTTAATCTATTCTTGCAGCAACAGCAACAACAACAACAAATAAAGCAACAACAACATCATCATCACCATCATCAGCAACAAGCTGGTCCATATTCAGTTGCTGCAGCGGCAGCAGCTGCTGGTTTGCAACTAAAAGGATCAGCAGTACAAAATGCTACATCGGCAATTATTTCTGCCGCTAATCAAACAATGCCGAGTAGTAGCGATCCAATGTCAACAACAGTGGTCACCACAACAACAGCATATGGTTGTGCAAATAATCAAACACATTTACAACAGAATCAGCAACAACAACAACAGCAACACTTGAATAATATGCAGCAATTATCTTTGACATTGCCAACACAGAACTCACTTATGCAACAACAGCCGCCGCAACAACAACAACAACAACATTACCAACAACAGCAAAATGAGCAATTAACTTCGAATCAACAGTGGGGACCATTTAAAGTTTACAGTGAGTTATTTATTTATAACTAATATTAAATTGGCTTTGAATATCCGTTTTGACGAAATATACCTAATTCATATATATATATATAAAAATATGTTATCGAATAGTAGTAAATTGTAACAACAAAATATTTTTTTATTATTTTTAATTAATTGAATTTTTGGCTGACTATAGAACTGTTTCGAGGACTGCCGAATACCCCTCATCTACGACTATATATCTCCATGTAACCTCTGCGATCCATTAAAAGACCTACAAAATTTTAGAAAGTCTGATATTTTGTCGTATGATATCTGTGTGTTATATAGTTTAAATTTAGAAACGATAATCCGGGCAGCAGATTTCAATAGTACTGGCACAAAATTTTACAATAGAGATATGCTAATTACGTATGTGAATGATATAGATATTTATAACCTGTATATTAATGCCTTCAGTATAGCTTTTTTAGCTTAGAAAAACAAATGATGAAAATTGGTTTCATTTTAAATGACGAGATTTTTTCCCAATAGATGTGACTTCTTGTCAACAGAAATGACTTCAGGGTAATTACAAATTTGAAAAATAAAGTCCTTTCTCAACAAACAAAAATTATGTTCTATAAGTCCTTTATCATGACTGTCCTTATTTATTATGCATATCTTGAACAACAACCAAAATTGATACTCTTGTGAAGGCAGTAACAGCATTCCAGAGAAAACTTCTTTAGAAGATCTATGATCCTGTATGCGTAGGAAACTAGTACCGATTTAGATAGTACGAGAAATGAAATTAGCTATACCGCAAGGTCAGCATAGTAAAAAGTATAAAAATTGACTGACTTCGGTGACTTAGTGATATCGTGCGAATGAATAATAATGCTCCGGCTAGAAAGTGGTTCTCCGCTTTTGCTAATAAAACTTATTTTTCCTTTTGAAAAGCGAACTTTTTTCTGAAAGGGTTTTGTTTATCATTTAACTTTTAAGTTTTTACAAATTTATTGCTCAAATATTTAAAGGAAATTGAAAATTCTGACTTTAATTTTAACAACTACTAGAAAAAAAATTTATTAAAAATAAATTCAACATTTAAAGACCAAATAATAAATATATAAATGCACATTGTTTAATTTCCATATAATTAGGGAAGTTTTTACTTAGCTTGTATGTATAAAATTTTCGAGAACTTCTATCTCTGGAACTTGTTCGTCATTAGTTCTTATTATTCTACTATGCTCTGCTGATTCGTCTTGTCTACGCTTCATTACTGTTTCTTCCTCTTGTCGATATGGTTCCCATTTATATTTCTGTCTCTTAACAGGAGCACGTTTATTCATATAGTTTCTGATATAAGAATTATAATCATAATCAACGTCGCTAAAATCTGTACCCGCTTTAAGATTATCATTAGGATCATAATTATTATCCGTAAAGCTGGAATCTTCAACTGTCGCAAAGCTGTCATATGAATCAACATTATTTAATTCCTTCATCGCTGTAAGACTTTCGTAAGGTTTATAAGTATCGTCCTTATTTTTAATATCTTGAACTTCTGTAAGACTATCATAGGGAATGATATTATTAGAATCCTTCACTGCTATGATATTATCTAAAGAATTATAATTATTAATGTCATTTACCCTTGAAAAATCATCTAAAGAGTTATAACTATTACAATTCTTAATTTCTCTTAGACTTTCGTAAGGTTTGTAATTGTTATCCACATAGTTTGAATCTTTCACTGCATTAAGAGTGTCATAAAACTTAATGTTATTAGAATCCTTCGCCGCTGTAGGACTGTCGTAAGAATTATAATTAATATCCGTTCCTTCATAATCTTGAACTGCTGTAAGACTGTTATAAGGTTTAATGTTATTTAAGTCTTTGGCTGTTTCCAGGCTGTTATAAAGATTATTAACATTATCCATACCTCTCATATTGTTGTTGTTATCTATATTCTTTACATCCTTCACTGCTGTGAAACTGTCATAAGAATTAATATCATTATTCTTGACTGCTGTGAGACTCTTAATTCTATCAACATCTTTGAGTGCTGTCAAACTGTTATAAAGATTATTACCATTATCCATACTTTTTAAGTTATTGTTATTATCTGTATTTTGTAGATCCTTTACGGCTCTAAAACTATCATAAGGATTAATATTATCATTATCCTTGACTGATGTGAGACTTTTAGTTTTATCAACATCTTTGATTGCTGTCAGACTGTTGTAAAGAATGCCATTGTCTATACTTTTTAGATTATTGTTATTTATATTCTTTAGGTCCTTCACAGCTCTAAGACTATCATAACGATTAATATTATCATTATCCTTGACTGCTGTAAGACTCTTAGTTTTATCAACATCCTTGACTGCTGCCAGACTATTATAAAGATTATTACTATTATCTACACTTTTTAGATTATTGTTATCTATATTCCTTAGATCCTGTACTACTGCAAGACCGCCATATGAATTAAAATTATCATTATCCTTTGTTGCTGTAAGACTCTTTAAATGGTTATTACTACTATCCATGTATTTCGGATAATTGTTAGTATCTATATTCTTTACATCCTTAACTGCCACAAAACTGTCATATGGGTTAATATTTTCAATAGCCTTGGCTTCTGTAAGACTTTTTATTTTATCATAATCCTTAACGGTTGCAAGACTATTATAAAGATTATTACTATTATCCATATGTTTCAGATTGTTATTGAAATCCATGGTTTTCAGATCCTTAACTGCTGTAGGATTGTCATGAGAATTATAATTATTACCCACGTGGGTAATATCCTTAATAAATAGAGGCTCAGGTGCTATTTTTTCACTACCCTGCGGAATATAGTAATGAGTATTTGGCGGGTTTTTTTCAATGTTATCAATAGTTTTTTTACTAATTGGACTAAACTTATTAGATAGATCATTAAAAAATGTACTTATGGGCTCCTTAAAAGAACTCAGGAAGCTTTTCCCTTGGATCTTATCTTTAGCGACAATTGAATTGTGGTTATTTAAATCCTGATCAACTGGTGTAAGTTTGTACTCACTAGTTTTAGCTCTTACCATGTCCGGAGGTACATGAACTCGCATTAATTTCATATTCGTACTAAATAAATTACCAGAACTCTGATCATCTTCAAGTTTGTTATTACTGTAGGTTGGTTGAATTCGAAGTGTCTGGTGAAGTTTTGACTCTGGTTTGAGTATTTGAAGATCTGGATTCATAATCATATTTGGTTCTTTATTCGTAAATATTGTCGGTATCTTTTCATAAGTTGGTACCTTTTCATATATTTGCAATGAATGCCTGTTTTGTTGTTCAGGTGAAAATGAGTTTTGATTTACTTTTTGTACAGAAAAACTTGGACCGGAATTTGACGAACTTATCGTACCTTTTTGACTGCTATTAGAACTTGTTAGTTTATTGGGAGAGAAGTTTTGATTTCCAGCATTGTTGTTTTTGGTATTGACATTAGGTGTTACAGGTTTCGCTCGAAATACTGAGTTCGGATTAATTGCCGCGAATATCGAACTTTTTAATTTTGAGTTTGATTTAGTTTCACCTTCTACATTGCTATTCCCGCAACCAGTTTTTGGATCACATCCTTTTTGTTTTGCTGATGTCGCTGCAGTATTGTCCATATTATTATTTGCAACAGGTTGACTATCCTTCCCATATGACATGAAAGACTTATATGCAGGTTTGGACATATATTTGATATTATTGTCTGCGAATGGATCTGAGCTATCCTGATCGGTTTTATCACTAAACATTTGATATCTGTCAAATTTGGACGGATCTTTGTTACTATTTTCTCCAGTCCATTCAAAAGTGTCGTCATTATTATTTGTTCCCAGTGGCCTTGAATTGTAATGTTTAACATTAATTTGTTCCATGTCTTCATTATTACCATTATCAAATGCATCTGCACTCGAGTCACTATATCCGCCCCCTTTACGATCATTATAGCGTAGTTTATCTTTAGCATAAGTCTCGTCATGTGGTGCCAAATGATCATAGTCTTTTCTTAGCTCCGGCTTTGATAAGGGATCAGAGTACCGATTAGCATTATCGTCTTCCCCATCATGTAGTTCAAACGGTATTATACGTACATTTGGATATTTGTTAAGTAGCATTTGACCTTTTAAATGAAGAAATCCGTTAACAAATAAATTGGACATGCACGGTTCATTTGAAAGTTCGTCCTTTTTAACTTTACGCAAGACGTGAATACTGTGTTGTCTCTCAGCTGTAGTTTGCCAACATAGAACTATAAATGAGAACAGCAACATGTATCGCATTTATTTAAATTTGCTAACATTTTTTTAATTTTCAGAAATTTTTTTTTTTAATATTGACACTAATTTTTTTTTAATTTTGAAGTGAAGAGCAATAAATAAAATTTTAAATATTAATATTTTTATTTATTATTTAAGTTAACATATATGTTATTTAAAGTTAGCCAACCTGTCTATAGAACTAGAAGATTACTGGGCTCTGGTTGCTCAGTGCCGCAGAGTACCACGATCTTAACAGATTTTTTTTTGCTCAAAACCTACCTTATTTTAATAATATAAAATATATAAAATGTATAAAATTAAAAGCCTGGTTGTGCTCAACAGATAAACTGAGAGTCATCATAATCATTTTTCGATATGACTTTTAAATTGGAAAAGGGTCATGTGCTACTACACTGTGTCTCCTAAACAGTAACGAGGAAATAAGAGTTGATCTATGGGAGCACTTAAACATACTACACAAATTTTATCAAATTCTCAAGTCTTTTCTATTAATAAGATTAATTCTCCAATCGAATTCCAGAATAATATCGAAAAATATTCGCAAATGTGGTATGTGAATGGATTCAATCTTGAGAATGACGACACTGCATAAGATAGGCCTTTCACTCAAAACGCTTTGTTTGTGTGTATATATCAGTTACATTTCAAACAAAGACATAAAACTTATGTGTGAAAATATCTCAGGAGCAAAACCTTTAGAATTATCACTTTAGTATAACTGGAAATTTTAGAGAGTTATGTTTCGTAATGATCTACAAATTGTATAAAACAGAACAAAAACAACCTTAGAATTATTACAAGATCTCTGATAGAACAAAGACATTGCAGGCTGGACAATAACCTTACGACATTGGGAATTTTATATAATGGAGTTTGTAGGTTTTATAGAGAGGAGAAAGGACAATCTTAAAACAACTGCTAGGAGGTTTACTGACAGTGATGCATAAAGAAAAAAATTAGCTAGGTGAGCATGTTAACATAATTAGTATGGAGATTATTGAACTCGGAAAAATCGTCTGAATTCGGGAACAGAACACAAAAGATCTCTAGATTGCAATGCAAACGTTCCCATCTAAATAATAATACATTAACATTTGACAGCCAAGCAATCATACTCAATTCTTTATAGTGTGAACAAGGGTAATGGTCTTGCCAAGCAAGACGTCAACTAACTGAACCATTAATTCTGTTTAAATTCTATATTGGGGTATTCTGTACTTAAGTCAGGAAAACGTTTAATACAGAAAGGAAATTCAATTTAAAACTGCGTAAACTGTAGACGCTGAAAGCTGACTAGGAACAGGATTAACAGTTAGAAGGCAATTTCTAAAAGACACTTCGAACTGAATAGCAAAGATATCAAAACTTTCTGACAGAATCATTTAAGAAGTTTATGTTGGTTAAAAGCATAATTAGGGCTTAAAATAAATTGGGTTAACTTACTATTTTTCCCATTTTATAATAATATTATATATATATGTGTGTCAGAAATTTGATATAATATTCGTTTTTAATGTTCGAAATTAGGTTTGCACCATCGTCCCAGTATTTATATTGCAAATTATTCTTACATACTTATTAGTAACATCGTGAACACCCCATGAGTAATATTTACAAAATTGAATTGGTTTGAAGAAATTTCAAAAAAGTATTTTTGTAATATCTCACATACACTTTATTTGCAATTAATTTTTTTGTAATTTTTTTTTATAGGCAATCCGGACACATTAATTTGCGGCAATTGTCGGGAATATTTCAACGAACTTGCTGAGTTATTAGACCACAAGAAAAGTTATTGCAAACTAAGGTTCACATGCAAATGCCAGGATGTTGCATTACCCGGCTCGACGGCTGCTGTTACCGCCGCTAATGCAAGTATGTATGCGTGAATATTATTCTATTGTTGTTACACTTGCAGCTGCAGTTGTTGTAGTTGTTTTTGTTTCATATTGTTTGTGTAGTCATCGCAGTATTTATATAGCAAAAGTTTGGTACACTCTAAGGGAGTGCGATTTGGCATTGAGTTGCTTTGAGCAACTGGCGAGGCAAAGTGTGAAGGGAAGGTGTTGGGCATGGCGTGAGCATTGTTGCTGCTGTTGTTTGTAATTAATTTATTATTGTTAAGCACTTTGCAAAAGAAATGGATGTGCATATGGGACTTTGTTTGTGTTTATTAATATGCACACTTGGAAATGCTAGTATGTATGCATGCGCTTGTACTGTGTGAGTAAAACAACTCAAGCAAACAAAATGATGTTTTCAAGCTACGAGTTGTGTTGTAAAGTTTGTTACTTTCTGCACTTAATGTATGGATTACGACCATTTTAAGGTTAGAACGTAAACTGATAGCATATGGTCCACCGAACAGTTGATTCCTCCTCTTTTGGGCCACATATGATACATTGCTCTATGCGGTTGATATAAAGAGGCTATCGCTTAGTTTAAGTGCTTGAAAAATTGAGTTGTTTATTGGTGGCATTGTAGGATTATAAAATTAAATGCAAAATTTATTGTTAGAAAGCAAATGTACTTCATATGAATCATTCAAAGAAAGAGGTTTTCTGGTTCTGAAATGTTGGAGAAAATAAAAAGGATCAAGTTTTGAAGCCACTTTTTTTTTTAGAATTTTTATATATGCTAGAGCACATTTAAAATACTCGTTTATTTTTAAAGTACCTACCAATAATCAATAGCATATACAATAATCTATTCCCAAATATTAGTATATATAATTTAGTGATTCCCAAAAACATAGCGAAAAAATATACTTTTAAGTATATCCACTCTTAGCACAATACTAATTACACTTCTACCAATAACATACATCTTATTTTCAAATATTGCTTGAGTTCTAACAGTATTTATAGATGTCTAGTAATGCAGGTTTTCGAATGACTTTATTTAATTTTTTTTAATGTAATTTTTATTTTATTTTATTGTATTTTTTTTAATTTTATTTTATCTCATACATTATTAAATTGCAAAACATTATATCAATTTTTTTTTTGCTGAATCTTTTTGAGAAAATTTTGATATATTTTTGACATCGTCACAACAGAATTTGAAGCCCGTATGTATAGACACGATCTTTAGCGCAATCTGCTCAATAGCGCAAAATAGCTGAACGGTAACAAATCGTATGATTTTGTCAATTCACAACCGATGTAAAATAACACTTACGGGAAATCTTTTTGAACGACAAACACAAAAGACATATTTTGTGATATCTGGCTTATGGCACTGCTCTCTCTTAGTCATATAACTTTAACATCCGTTGCTGTAAATTTAATTCAAAATAAAGTTGTAATCATGTGATAATAGCGATCAGAATTAACAGTTTATACCACATTCACGTCATTTTCGAACAATTTTAGAGCTATCATTTTAGAGCTATCATTCTGAACTGAAGGCAATGATCTTTTAAAAGTTACTTGTGAATTTGCGCTGCAACAGAAACGACAATTGTGGTTATTGAAATATTCACCAAGCAAAAAATTCATTGTGAAAAATAATTACTATATTTGTAATAACTTTTCACATGTTTGATATGTTCAACGACTGCAAAGTGATTTATATTTGAAAATGTCAAGTATTTTTATCATACTAAAACAGTCTGGCTAAATCAAGATCATAGAATGGTTAAACTTTTATACGAGTATGCATTGGAAAAAAAAGCTTTTTCCCTTACAATAGTACAGCACGGCTTCCATCTTATTTCATTCGTGGGTTCACTGATCGTGTTCTCAACATTTTATTTTATTTTATTTCATTTTATTTTATTTTATTTTATTTTATTTTATTTTATTTTATTTTATTTTATTTTATTTTATTTTATTTTATTTTGTTTTATTTTATTTTATTTTATTTTATTTTATTTATATTTTATTTTTTTTTATTTTATTTTATTTTATTTTATTTTATTTTATTTTATTTTATTTTATTTTATTTTATTTTTTTTTATTTTATTTTATTTTATTTTATTTTATTTTATTTTATTTTATTTTATTTTATTTTATTTTATTTTATTTTATTTTATTTTATTTTATTTTATTTTATTTTATTTTATTTTATTTTATTTTATTTTATTTTATTTTATTTTATTTTATTTTATTTTGCTTTAATTTAATTTATTTTATTGTTTTCATTTTATTGTATATGTTCTTATTAAATTTTATTTTATATGAAATAAAAAATATAGTGTAATCTTTTCTGATTTTACTTTACTTAGTTAATTGTATTTTATTTAATTTTATATTATTTTATAATATTTTTGATGTAACATTGAATTTTAATAAATTACTTTATTTTATTTTATTTCATTTTCTTTTATATTATTTTATTTTAAATTATTTTATTTTATTTATTTTATTTTATATAATTTTGTTTTATTTCATAATATTTTTTTACGTTATTTTATGTTTTATTTTATTCAATATTATTTTATTTCAGTTTATTTTAGTTTATATTATTTTATTTTATTTTATTTTATGTAATTTTATGTAATTTTACTTTATATTATTTTATTTAAAATGTATTTTTTTTTAAAACTCTTAGTAATACAAATTCCAACATTTTATTTTCTTAATCTCTGTTTTAGGAACATCATTGTCAAGCGCAAAATTGCTATGCGCTGTTTGCAAGGATTCCTTTAACAATCCTTGGGATTTAATGGTACACGCACAGGCTGCTCATATGGTAAACATATATGAATTGGGAAATGAAGCTAATAGCAATAACGCCAATTGTGGTGATACGAACACTGATGGTGCTGCAACAGTCACAAAAATATCAAAAGATATGCAAGCAACAGCAACGCTTATTAAAGGACAACACAACAACAATGAGAATAACAACATTAGCAGCAACAACAACAACACCCTTAAAATAAACAACAACATTACCAATGGCAACAATTCGAGCGACATAATCAACAACAACAGCAGCAACAGTAACAACAACTGCGATATACAAACACTCAGCAATGACGTAGAAATGTCACCAATAGCCAGTGATCCAAAATTGCCACAAATAAGTAAACTAGACGTATCAGTTGTTGGCGTTATTGGTGGCGGCGTTGGTGTTAGTGCTGATGGTGCCAGCAGCAGTTGCAATAATAGCATCGCTGGAGATGGCAGTGTCAGCGAATCTGAACCGCATTGTATGGAAATCAAATTTGATATTTGCAATAGTCCGAATGACTCCATTGCAAAGGAAGTAAGTAAACTGCATGAGTGAAGAGTGAAAGAGATGTGAATTGTGACAATTTGGTGTTAGGCGAATGGTGAGCTTAGGAACGTAATAGTAAAGTTTCAAAGTATAGTAATTAATACACAAACCCCCGTAAAATTGCAATGTTTCTGGTTTATTATGTTTACCGAAGTGTAAGTCAATATGACATTTCTAATCGGAACTTGCCTCAATTGTCTTTAGAGCGTATACTTGTGAGATATCAATTCATCTTTCCCAACTGAAAATGTTTTAGAATCAAATCAGATATATTTATAAAATCAAGCTTCTAACGTAGAATATAAGGTAACATTTTTTTCTACAGTATCTTAGCTGATTAGACACTTCATAGCTAGTTCGTTAGAGCAAGAAAGTGTTGTTGTTGTTTTATGCACAAATTAGAGACTTTAATAAGAGACTTGTTGTTTTTTGCCGTATTTTGTACCGGCCGAATACATTTAGTATAGAACATTATTGAAATATTTTTTAAATAATGTAAATAATATTTCAATATTATAATACAAACTTCATCGACGTATATATAAATTACTTTTATATTAAATTAATAAAATATTACGTATAATTGTAATATAAATTTATATATTAATTAAATCTTAATATATTAAATTGTTATAATTAATTTATTTTACAGTTATAAATAACAAAAGGGTTGTTATTAAAAAAAAAAGTATTATATCATGAACAATTTTATTTGATTAACATTTTTAATCAGCAAAAAATTTCAGTTGAGAAATAGCCCCGATTTAGATTATCATCTAAATATGGATGTCCACATTAATATATATATTTTGTTAACCTATAGATATCTATAAATCTTGTATCAAAAAAAAAAAAAACAAACAATCCAACACTCTAAATGATTAAAAAAGTAATTTTATTTCTACATTATATTTAATTATACAATGCCTTATATCCAAAATAATGTTATAGTACGATATTGTACAGGAATATAATTATTTTAATTTAATATAGTAGTATAGAAGCATGGAATAAAATCATATATATTAAAATATTAATTAATTTCAATTTCATAGGATGCACAAAGGGATGATGCTTCATTGGATGAACATACATCTAATTCATCACAAATTCATAACTCTGATGAAATTAAAATCTTAATTGGTTCAGTATCATCACGTGGTAGTTCACCAGTTTTGGATACTGATGAACAACATCAACGTGCTTGTATTGTGCGCACATTGAGCATTGTGAGTATATAACTTTTGCAAGTACTTATATTTTCTTAATTTTCAGAAAAGAATATATATTATTTTTATATTTATATATGATAAATATATATTAATCTATACTACTTCTTAAATTAATTTTAAATTCCCTTTAACAAAAAAAAAAACAATTAAATGGACACAAAATAGGAAGCAACCACGTCAAATGCAACAAATACAGCATCAGCTCTGGGCATCATTTCTAAGAGTTTGGCTTTAGGTCTTGCAAATGGAGCTGCTAAAGCTGCTGCAGCCATTATACCACAGTGAAGCACAGGGTTGTTTTTGCAAAGCGACTAAAGTAACTAAAGGATTGACAACAACAGTTAAAATAGAAGCATAATGGAATGGGAGTAGAGCTAAGCAATCATTTAAATGTTGCTGGCAAGCAAAAATTATACGTAAGTCTTTTGGTTCCAATAAGCCATTAAATAATTTAAATGAACATTAATTATTAGTTTATATATTAATTAATATTCAAAAAAAAAAAAACACAAAATATTTGTTATTTGAGATGTATCTATAAGATATATTTATTATATGTTATTGTTATTTGGAAAAAAATGTTTAAAATCCTGTCAAAATTAAATTGAATAAATTGAAAGTAAATTGAATTTTATACAAATCAACTTAAATTAAATTTTATTTAATTCAATTACTTTCAAATTAAATTTCATTGCAATTTCAATATCAATTGTAAAAATATTCCACTATATGTGTAGAGAAAAGCACTTTTTTATTAAATATTGCAAAAGTGCTTATTTAACTTTAAATAGTTTTTTTTTTTAATTTTAATTAAATTTTTCATATATTAAAAAACTTTAAAATTAAAGCGTAAATTTTTTTATAACTAAATGAAGTTATTGAAATTGAAGATAACATTTTTCTAACCTTTTTAGAGATTTTCATGTTAATAATAATTTTAAAATTTTATTATTTTATTACAACTCAAATATTGCTGGCCCACTTTGCTAATTAATACTTATCAATTTTTATTTGAACATTGGTTTTTCGCACTTGATGCATTTTAATTGCCCAAATTTATGAGTGTTTTTACGATATTTATCTGGTCGCTATGAAAAATATTGAACCTAGGCATTTCCCTTGGTTGCATGCATGCAATGCAGTTTTAATTCACATGTGCATAATTAAAATTATTTCACTGAAAACAATATAATTCAGAATTATGTTCGCAAATTGTAAAATATTTCAAACATTTCATAAATGACATTATGCTTTATCGCATATCAGGATTTATCAACCAAAAATTTCAAAACTTTACATTGTATTTCAGTGATATTAACTGAGCTACATACAATATTTGGAGTTGCACTGAGGGCTTGTATGGCAACTAAAATAATATTTTTGTTCAAAATTCAGATTTTGGAAGTTGTACCGAAAAGTATAATAATGATGTATTATGTATGGATTAAATACAGGAAAATATGCTATATTCAAAAATTTAATAAATAAAAAATTAATTCTAAAAACATTGGTACCAATCTCTATTGTTTATATGTGAATGTTTTTTTTTTCTTTTGCTGGGCCACATTTTTTTTGTACTTTTAATCAATATTAAAAAATTAATTAAAGTAATTTATTTATTATAATTATAAATAATTAACAAAAATGACTTTAAGCCCAATAAAAACGATAAAGATGAATATGGTGGCACCATATAGGTGTATATGTATTTGCATACAAAAAATAAAGTACGAGTATTATGAAAATATCTTCAACTTCAGTTAGAAAATATTTTATTGTATTAATAATTAATACAAAAATTAAAATTAAATCAATCTTAATGTTTTTATCATTAGGTGAACTATAATCTATCTCTCAGTCAAATCAGTTCACACATATATAATATCAAAATTTCATATATTAAAAAATTCGAATTTGCTGTATGCATATATCTACATATATAAAAATCAAATTACTAGCTTACTATATTCATAAATATTATATATAAATTTATAAAATATATAAAATCTATACATATATGTGTAATATTATTAAAAATCCAAACATATCATTTTAAATTAGTTGAATTACTATTATTAGGATATATATAACAGTTCATCGAAAAATCAAATTGAAAAGTATATAAATATAATCATATATATATATATAAATGTGAATATATTTTTGAAGTTGAAAAATTGATTATAAAAAATTTTCTACTATGTTATTTTACAAAATTATAGTAAAACTTATTTGTTTATAGGATGACTGCTCTGATTCCATTACATATGTTTAGGTAACTGAATAAAAAAAATTAATATTTAACAAGTATTTCGACTCGACTATTAGAGATCTTGTGTCAGTTTTCATTTTTGTATTACGTAAATAATCTTCTTACTTTAATTACACTTGGAGCTCAATAACACAAAAACATGATCGTCATGGTCAGTAACTTAAGGCAAGGTTTTTGTTGAATTATTGTTAGATTACATGTGAGGTAACTAAAACGAGGTGAAAAGTACTGAATTAGTATTACTAAAAGCATGCTAATCTGCACAAATACAGACACCCTTCTTTGGGAGATTTCGAACGGCACTTCGTTGTCGATGGCGACGTGTGGCACTGGTACGTAGACCCAGTCCTTTTTGGAACTATCTCATAAAAGTTAATATTTGGAACAATAGAGCAAACTCATGAGAAGACAAATAATTACAATTGTAGACTAGAGGCTTAAAAAAAATTTTAATCTTAAAAAAACATCCAACAACAAAGTTTTATATAGCTTACCGGTTTGTAAGATTATTGAAGTCTCTGGAACTTGACTTATACTGAGTCATGAATTTTAAAAATTATACTATTTAATATACTATTACTACTATTGTGCATTTACCCCACTGGGGTATAAGACCGCAATAATTCTATAGTATAAGTTCTATACAGTTCTATAGTATAAAAGTTATTATGGCTATTGTCAAATCAGGTTATCTCTCTCTCTAATTGAATAAGAATTTAATATTATTTAATATAATTTCTTTTCTTGACTATTATTTTAAAACAAAAATTAAAATATAGTTTCACTAAATAAATAGATCATAATTTTTTTTTTTAATTAAATTTTTGCAAAATAATTATTTTTTCAAGAAACTTTTTAAAATTAATTTATAAATATTTTTTTAACTCAACTTCATAAATGTACCACTTCAGCATATAATAAAGTTGAGCTTTAGAAAATAAGTTAGATAGTTTTAAGTCTTATATATGTATTAAATACATCAAAATTGTATATTCAAACCAATTAAATTAAAATCCTGGTCAACCATACAGAAAGTATTTATATTCAGTATCCTTGTATGTAGTTAGAAAATAAATATATATGGTATATATAATCAATAGAATTTAATTTTAACTAAATTTAAACATTATTAATATAAAATATCTATGTATCTAAGTGTCATTATATGAATCAAATATGAAACTTATAGCAAATCTGACAGCGTTTAAACAATATCTAAATGTAACTGGTGTTTCAAAAAAAAAAAAATTATATATATAATATGTATATATATTATACATATTAATAATTATGCATAAATGTTGTTTAAATAATTATTTCAAAATATGTTATGTGAAGAAAATGGTTTGCTTTTAATTAATAAAAATTATTGTTTTTTATTATATAAAATAAATATACTTTTACTTTAAAATATTAAATTTTAAGCGAACTTTATGTTAAAAATAATTAATTTTTTTGTTTGATTGCTTATAATTAAAAAAAAATTATTAATAAATTATACCTTTTTTTTGCTTAACTTAAATATAGACATAACACATTTGTTTTTTATAATTAATTTAAAAAAAATAAGAAAACTATAATTACAAGAATTTATTGTTAGTTTATCTAATTTAAATTTATTAATATATATTGAATAGAAAAAAAAACAGTTCAATATACAACTAAATAATTTAATATACGTATTATATTTTTTTAATTAATAAATATAATACATCTGATTCATACTGAGAATGTCATAAGAGAGTATTTATGTATACTGTGTATGATTTTAATTAATTAAAAAAAAATAAGAAAATTATAAATGATACTATAATTTATTGTTAATTTACATAATTTAAAATATATTCATATACATTGAACAGAAAGAAGGAATTAAAAAAGAGTTCAATATACAATTAAATAATTTAATATATGCATTACTTTTTTTTAATTAATATATATATTTATCATTTTTATATGTTTATAAAATTATAAGATGTTTACGTTTAAGTTGATGGAAATATAAAAATTTCATTTTTATATGTATTCATAAATATATATTAGTGTATTGTCAAGTGTTGCTGATTCTATGTACTAAATGCAAATTATTTATATTTCGATGTCCTCCAATAAAATTACATAAAATTAAATAAAAAAAACATATATTTAATCAAAATGCAAGGTTATTTTAAATTTCTGACTCTACTGCAATGTTGGTAAGTAACTAAAAGAATAAAGTATTTATTATCTCTCAGTTCTAGTTTATTTTTGTCTGCATTAATAGCTCCTTTAAAATTCTGTGCTAAAACTCATTATAATAAATGATCAACTTTCCGCACCTTTTTTGTTGCTTGTACTGGGTGTGTTGTGTATTTTTTAGCAAAATTAACCCAAACAAGATTACAATTGTTACTAAGGCACTAACTGAAAACATTTAAGCCAAAACGGAAACGCTAACATTTTGTTTTTAATGAAATTGCGATAGTTGCAAGCTGCATTCTGACTACACGGAAGGAACGTACCCAACACAAACAAAAAAGTACAAAAATCCAAAGGCTTGCTTCAGTTTTCCGGCAAAGTATAAACTTCCATTACAGCTGACTATAATGCCGTTAAGTTTAGCTAAATGAAAACGTGCATTTCAACTACTTTTTACCTAGCGTACGCTAGGAGAACACTACGTAAAAACTGTTGACTTTATTTAAAAGCCAAAAAAATTGTTTTTTAAGTCCTTCCACGAAGCGCCACTGTCGCATGTCCTTACAGCCAACCGAATTTACCTTTCATTGTTGACTTTTCGCAGTTGGTGTTGCTCTTGCTTACAGGCTCTGCGTATGTACGGAAGGCCTTAAGCACTTGCGGTACTCGTTCATTTAAAATGTAGATACTTTTGCAACATTTGTAGCTTCAATTGTGCTTGAAATACAAAAAGAAAATAATACAAACAACCGTCGGGTATATTTTGCAAGAGAAGAACTCCTAGTACTCCTAGGTACGAGGACATTGTAAGTAATCACAACAATAACAACTGCAATGAAAATAAATATTCTGTGGCTAGTAATCTGTATTATGCGGATCAGTTTGCCCTGCTTTAACTGCCACTTCGTACTGAAATACCTTATTTTTGGTTAGCAATTTTGGTTCATTTCTCTACTTGAATCCTGCATATATAAAACCATGTTAGGATGACCACTTAGCTATGATAATTAAAAATATCGTATTTTCTAAGTGCGATATATG